TATAAATTATAACATTCCTTGTTCATTCATAAGCTAATTAAATTTCTTAGTACGATATTTATTTTGAATGTAATCAATCCATCTTCTCCGTTCCAACTTATATTTCTCATCTGAATGGTCCTTCCAATATGCTGAGATTTTGGCCATCTCTGCTAAATTTACTACTTTTAATGTCCATTCTTGAATAGTAGGCAATTCTTCCTTCTTCCAGTAACAATTATTGACATTTGTAAACTTCCATCTCATTTCTACCTCTTGTCTCTATCCATTCATAAAATATATTCCATGTCCTATAATAGCCGAGCTCCGTTTTCAGCTGCGACAACGTCCTGCAATCCTCTGCCAATTTAAAGGGAGCTCGGGAGTGTGACAGCCCTCCCTAGCTCCACTTTTGCTGGCAGAGACATCGCGGGCCGGTCCTTTGCTGTTTCCAGGGTGGCCCCGTGTGGACCAGATCTAAGCACTCTGCGGGCCGGATCCAGCTCCCGGGCCTTGAGTTTGACACCCCTGTTTTATTAGATTTCAGAACCACAAGTATCAAAGGAGGTCTAAGAAACTCATGGGCCTGAAAGCAGCCACTGAGCTGGGCTTGTCTGGACTTGGTTAGGACGCTGTCGTCCCAACTTCCTTGAATTCTGGTTGATCTCCTCTGGTTGACCTCCCTTGCTGATGGAGGAAAGAAAAACGAAGTGCTCTGTCCACAAGGGGAACTAGGATCTTTTTGTGATCCTGTTTTATGGGTGATCATATCTGTTTTTAGCAGTGAAGTTGGATTTTGAACTCTAGAACAGGCAGTAAATGTTATAGTTAGCCCAGGCTTTTATTCGGATTATAAATTATGAGCAAACATGTGACCGCAAAGACAGAAGAATAACAGAGCAATTCAGATCAAAGCAATAACAATAGACGGAGTTAAAAATAGTGCGTAAAGTATCATGAATACTTTATCAAGTATCAAGCTCACTTCTAGCCCTTCTGGGAAAAATCAGACGTCTGTTTCAAGGGCAAAAGACCGTTCGTTTTATTTGGTCAAATGTTTCCGGCTGAAATAGCTAAACCAGATGCCTCTTGGTGAGAGCAGAAATGTTCTTCAAAAGGCATCCAAAAAAATAAATAAATAAAAGGAGATGTCATCCTTGCCAAATGTAATACAGTAAGCAAGGGCAGAAACCCAACACCCATTTACAGTTAAGAAGATCAAAGCCATCCTTCACATTTTAACTCAATAAGGGCAAAGAGCAATCACGATTCAGAGTTAAGGGCGAAAACATCTTTAGAATTTCTTCAGAGAACATTTTTAGGGGACATTTGTGGAGGGGTATCAAAATGGGCAGTTTAGCTCAGGCCTGAGCATGTTGCATGATACCAAGAAGTTGTGTTGACAGATGTTGCTTGGACTTCATAACCCATTAACAGATTAACAGAGTTGGAAGGAACCTTGTAGGTCCAGGATGGTGAACAGCTCCACCACTCATGCCTGCCCGCCTCACCGGCCAGCTGATTTTCAAGTCTCTGCCACACATGTGGGAGACACATGTGACTACATGTGGGGGGATGTCTCATGTGCATGTGTGGGGGCAGGGGGGGTCTTGCACGCATGGGCGGGGGTTTCGTAGGGGCGCCTCATTTTCTGTTTCAGGAGGCTTCAGGGAAGCCTGCTAGGCCCAAAATGGGTTGCAGGGGGAATGTGGCATGGGGAGGGGAGCATAGGGGGGTTGTGCACACACATGCAGGGGGCGGGTGCATTGCATTATGGGTGTGGCCACATGCTCACACGATTTTGGCGCATGAAGACAAAAAGTTTAACCATCACTGTTGTAGGTCATCTAATCCAATCCCACCCAACCCAAGCAGGAGACCCTACACCATTTCAGACAGATGGCAGTCCAGTCTCTTCTTGAAAGCTTCCAGTGATAAAGCTCCCACAACTTCTGAAGGCAACTTCTGTTCCATCGGTTGATTGATCTCCTTATTTCCAGGTTGAATCTCTCCTTGGTCAGTTTCCATCTATTATTCCTTGTGTGGCCTTCAGGTGCTTTGGAAAATAGCTTGACCCCTTCCTCTCTGTGGCAGCCCCTCAATTATTGGGACACTGCTATCATGTCTCCCCTGGTCCTTCTCTTCACTAGACCAGCCACGCCCAGTTCCTGCAACTGTTCATCGTATGTTTTAGTCTCTAGTCCCCTCATCATCTTGGTTGCTCTTCTCTGCACTCTTTCTATGAGTCTCCACATCTTTTTTATAGTGTGGTGACCAAAACTGGATGCAGTATTTGTAAAGTGTGGTCTTACTAAGGCTTTCTAGAGTTGTATCAGTATCTCACTTGATCTTGATCCAATGAACTTCATTGTTAACATTTCTTTGCAGATTGGGGACCGGGTCTGGCTACCTGGTTGCCACGAGCAGTGCAGTTGTTACGGCCCCTCTGATTTCCGCTGTGTTGCTGCCAGTTGTAATCCTGGACAGATATGTACTGTGAAGGATGGGAAAGTAGGCTGTCACTCCCGCTGGGGAACCTGCACAGTGACTGGGGACCCTCATTACGTCACTTTTGATGGGTCGGTGGCACATTTCCAAGGCACCTGTGCCTACGAGATCTCAAAGCTTTGCAACACCTCCTCTCCGTTCTTCTACCGGGTTGTGGCACAGAATCAGCATCGGGGAAACGCTCGGGTGTCTTTCGTAGCTCGAGTGGAAATCATGCTGAAGAGCGGCGCGCTAAGCTTTCATATTGTCCTAAGGAGTGGCCGTATTGTAGAGGTACGTGGAATATTGCCGTATGTGATTGCTACATCACAGTTGCTTTTGTGCTTTTCTGTTCTGCCAAAGACCCATTCCAGGGATATTTTTGAACATCGAAGAGATGGTTGAAAGTTATTAACATTTATCTTTTCATGAAGAAAGTTCTCCTCATATGGTAGGTGAGTAACTTCTCCAATTAGTAGCCAGGGTTCACACAAATTAATGTTAGAATCCTAGTCCTAGATCACCATATCTTCTGGTTCTCACTAGAATAGGTCAATGGTCCATCTAGTCCAGCATTCTCTTCTCTGATGTCTACTAGATAGTAATAGCACTTAGATTTATATACCACTACACAGTGCTTCACAGCCCTCTTTAAGTGGTTTACAGAGTCAGCCTATTGCCCCCAACAATCTGGGTCCATGTTTGACCCACCTTGGAAGGGTGGAAGGCTGAGTCAACCTTGAGCTGGTGAGAATCGAACTGCCAAACTGCTGGCAATTGGCAGTCAGCAGAAGTACTGCACTTTAACCACTGCACCACTGCGGCTCTTCAGATGTCTGTTGGAAGTCTGTTGCTGTCCTGTTTATATTCCCCAGAAAGTGATATTTAGACACAAGTTGTCTTTGAGTTTAGGGCTGGTCTGTGACCATTAATGGCCTTTTTCTTCACTAATTCATTTAATCTATATACAGTATATAAAAAGCAAGTACCACTCACTCATCACGAAATCTCCAGAATTATAAATCCTACAAACTTGAAATTTGGCACTTACATTCCTCTGGACCTCTAGGTGCTCACTAAGAAAGGATTTTTTTGAAATGACCATCAGATCATTAGTATTTCTTGTGCAATAATTAACACACTCTGAATCTGATGCTAAGGAGTTCTACTCCCCCTCCCCACCTGAAAAGAACTCTGTTCCAACTGCCAGTTGCCTCACATTCCATTACCTCACTTCAAACTGGCAGACATTCCACTCCTTCACTTAGGAGCAGTCCAGGGCTCCTTACAGTACTAAACATCAATACTTCACCAAAAGGTCTATGCCTTTCACCTATGGAACTGCTTCCAAACTCAAGGTGGCGGGAGCGATATCCCCTTATGTGTTTCAGTCTCCGAACACCACTGAGCCAATGGATTGTCAACCGAATTTCTCCTGCATAAAGCAATCAGAGTTGATAATCTTCAGATTAGCAAAATACAGCTGTCACTGCATTGTGAATGAATACTTTCATCTCCTAAAATTTCCACCCTTCAGCTTTAATGAATGACTCCCAAATCCCAACATTATAGGAAAGGGGGAATAAAAAAATTGCCACATTCATAATTTAGACATGACCTAGCCAGTTCACTTCTCTAATTCTACTTTCCTTTTTTCAGGTCAACCAGGAAATTGTGGAACTTCCCTATACCCTGGAACTCACAGGCTTCATTTCCAAGATAAAAAACATGGTGATTGTAAAATTAGCAGCAAATGTAGAAATCCATTACAATGGCCAACACACTCTGTTCATCAAAGTGGGGCGGGAGTACCAGCAGAAGCTGTGCGGGATGTGTGGGAATTTTAACGGTATTCCAGAGGATGATAAGGTGTTGCCCGATGGAAGCAGAGCCCAGAACGATTTGCACTTTGGCAATGCCTGGAAAACCGAGACCAGCCCAGCAGGGTAAGAAAAGATTCAAAGATGCCATGTGAAGCCTCTCTGCTTCGTTGAGTCCAGTGGCATCAAAGTCATTTGACATTCCAAAATAGGTGCAAATACTGCATACCTGTGTATGAAAGAAATCCTGCCACAGCTTGAGGGCATTACGGATGTATTACTAGATTGTGATGTTGACTTTTGTGTGTATTTATTGTGCTAGGAATACATTTTATGCTATTGCTAATAACGCACCACCATCGGAATCAACGACGTGTCTGATAAAACGTCGTTGTTTCGTTTCCTGCATTTGCTAGAGTTGCGTTGCTCAACCTTGGCTTCTTGAAGTTGTGCGGACTTCCACAACTTCCCCTGGTTGAAGAATTCTGAGAGTTGACATCCACACGTCCTCAAAGCTTCTTCTTGTATTTGTTTACATTTTGCTTTGGAGCTTCTAACAAAAGCAAGACCTCTTGCTTTGTTGTTGTTGTTGTCGTCGTTGTTTTATTAAGGTGTTTGGATGACAATTCCACCCTGGAGCCCTGTGAAAACCCGTGGGAATACGAACAGCTCTGTGGGATTTTGGTCAACCAAACGGGACCTTTTGCCAAGTGCTCCTGGCACGTGGATCCTTCCCCGTTTTATTTGGCCTGCCTGTATGATTTATGCCACTATGGGAGGCATAACAACATGCTGTGCATTGGCCTTGCAGCTTATGAGGAAACATGCCTTCTTGAGGGAATTCAGATCCCAGGATGGAGGGCTTCCGTTCAATGCCGTGAGTATCCATCTCTCGATTGTCTAACAAATTTTGGAGGATCTCTTTTTAATGTGTATATAAATAATTTTATTAAAGGTTATCCTCCTCCTCCTCCTCCTCCTCC